TATGCTGAGATTCTTTTCTTATATGAATTAACAAAATATTATCTTAAAATTGAAAGAGAAATTCATTCATTATTGTTCCTATTATTTAGAAGAATATTTAGCAACAAAGAAAAAAGTTTTATAATCACATAGGAAAACTAAAAGGGGTTATCATATCCGAACCCTACACTTAGAAGGATTATTTAATTGTAAAGATTTAATTTTCCTAGTCAAGGAATGAAAGTGATGGGCGGCTACAAGGGGAATTAATTTCTAAGATTGTTTTCTGTGCTGTGAAGGGAAATCTTAGTCCTAAAAGAAAAGAAAACTTTAGCAATTAAATTCATATTCAAATTAGATTTCCTAGCATTTAAAAGATAGTTAAGCAATTATAAAGTATATAGAAAGATAGATCTTAGCCAAGAGTTATTTAAGTTAGGAAATTAAGATGTTTTATCTTGTTTTATATCACTAATAAGCTATTGTCCAGATAGCATGTTTTCATTATTATTTCTATATTTGAACTTAATTAATATTTTGGTTTTTCATTGAGATCCAATGCTTGTTTGGATCTAGGTTTGGGTTCACTGATAAAGGTTTTGAGCCTATTTTTGTAAGCGGATCAATTCAGTCCACAATAATATATCCATCAGGATTAATTTTTTAGAACTATTTAAACACATGTAAAGCCTAAATTTCAAAACCTTTGATAGATAATACTTTTGAATTTTTCAGTTTAATATATGAGAGAGAATCTTATATTATTTGGTTCTTAAATAATCTGAATCTCATTTATCAAAGATTATCTGGTTTCGTAGCGTTGTTTGACTTCATTCCAGTAGTGCTGCTATTTTGGGATAGGTTTTGATTGTGTCATACACTCCTATCTGATCTCTTTTATCATTCTACGATTAAATTATAATTTTAATTGTGAGTTACGCGATCATGAGATTTGTATCAAATAGTGGGTTTGACAACTCACCAAACCCATATATATCTGGGTTCAGTGTTTGATTAAACCTAAGTGTATTGGGTTATTACTCTATTTTTTGTTACTCCTTTAAACACAAAAAAAAAAAAAAAAAAGCTTATCCATCTCTTACTTTTCACTGCTTTTTATTTATCAAATGTGTCTGTAACTTTACAAATGGATAACAAAATCAACTTATGCTTTGGATTGAACTTGATATATATCCTTGTAAAATAGGCTGTAAGGAAAATATGTATACCTTGCATATCAAGAAGGGCTTTCCTTACTTACCTGTAACATGCATTGCAATCAATGTTGATCCTAAGCACCATGCAGAAAAACTGCGTAAGTTCGTAAGCAAATCAGAAAATTAATGCGATAACTTCAATCGAAGTTGCTGCAAAATGATTGCCTAATGGGTATATTGTGTGATATATGGCATTTTAATGTTGCCTTTTCTGTCATGAATATTTAACTGGCTAGAGAGGAGCTTCTTTTGGAATCCAAACGTGTCGATGCTAAACGGACGATAGAAAAACCAGATTAAAAGGCAAATGAATGGGATATCTAGATTATGAACTATCAGCACAACTTTTTTATTTTATTTTATTTTATTTCTTATTATTTTTGAAATCTGATTCTCCAGTTGTTAATAGAGAGGTAAGGCGTGGTGATGGCATATTGCATGAACAATAGAGGAGAGCATCCCTTTAATATATACACTTAATTCCCTCCAGAAAGGAGAAAAGAGGAATACAAGGGAGAAACAAATTAAACTATATTCTTCTCTGCTATATTCTTAACCCATAGAAGCTGCAAAAAGTGAGGGAAGTGGTCACCAATTATTAAGGCAATCCTCATTTTGTCAACAAGCACTTTGCTGCTGTCAATTAACACCACTGACATAAGACTAATCAACAGGAATAGAGGATGAAACCAGAATACTTGACACTCATCCCAGAAGATTATGCCAAATGGCCATTTCGCTATCATGAATTGAGTTTCAGGATTTGGTTTTACATAATTTAGAAGGCATGAAAGCGTAAGAATGCCTCATTGAGGTTTCCTTATCGTTTTGCAGGCTAGGTTGTTAAAGACAGCAGGGACTCTTATCGAAGAACCTTAAGTGACAGATTTAGGAGTGAGTGTCACTTTCTTTTCTACCGCATGCGCCACAATAGATTCCACATCTGCAGACATATACCCTCCATTAGGGAAATCAACTATGTATTTATGTGTGCATACACACTATATCTTATGGTTAATGTAAATTTAGCATCTCTTTTAGTTGAATCTAAATTTATAAAATTATTATAGTGTTGGGGACGAAATGAAGAGTTGATCAATTAACATTTGCCTTCAATACTTGAAATTGCATCAGTCATCCTCTTTTGGCAGCTGAGGCATCGCAATCCAGCTGCTAAAACAACTTCCTGAACCTACAACCATCACCAGAATTATTTACCATAAGTAAAAGCAAACAAGCTCCCTTATGTCTATGATCCATTTACATCAAATGAATCAGATCAACAGAGAGAACGCTCCAGAGGTTTCTGCGAGGAGATAACAGGAGATGAGTTGATTCGACGAAGCACTGGTCTTGCATGTTTATAGATTGTAAGTTTAGCAAGCCCCTTCTCAGCCCAAAATTCCTTTGTAAGTTCATGGATTCATCCTCATGTTATAGCTACCATAGTAGAGGTGAGGATGCCAATATTTGAACAAATCGGACCATTTTTTATAGAGAAATGATATCTTCAGTCGTTGAGACAGCAAAGTTGATTGAGATGGAGCATGTGATAGCAGAACAAATAGATGCAAGCCTAGTGTCATGCTGACAAGGGAATAAGGAGAACTTCTTTTTAATCCACCTTGTGTTGTTTAATTTTCTTTTGCCAATTATACGTTTCTGAATACTCACAAGTAGCTGCTATATGTGCATGGTGAATTGATGATGAAGGAAAGGAAATAATGGACCAATTATTTGCAGTTGAATAGCACTCAGGTTAAGAAATACATCATGTATCTTTTCAATGGAAGAGAGTTCATGGGCATGCAGGTTACTTGAACTTTAAGATCTATTCTAAAAGCTTAAATTATTGTTTCTATAAGAAAATTAGGAAAAACGTTTTGTCCTTGAAGTTGAATGATGATGCTAACAAGCAAGTAGCTAATTTTCAAGAAGAGGCATCCCAAAAATTATTTCTACCATTTTGAAAAGGTTGAACACTTTTATGTATTATACATATCAGATCAAAACTTCCTTGATGTTTTGTCCTTGAAGTTTAATCTTTAGTTTGAATCATTTGCCCCAATGTTCTGAAAAATTATTTGTAACATCAATTTACTGCCTTTCCTTTTGCAAAAAGCTATCAGGACCCCTGCTGCTATAATGCCCTCCCATTACCTCATAACCGCATATTTTTTGTTTTGAAAATTCAATATTTAGTATTGATTTTGATCGAAATAAATTTACTCGTAATTCGTATGTATGGATGAGATCTAGAATATAAAATATTTTATCTTTATATATATAATTAAACAAGTAGCATGATTAAATAGCATAGGGGGCCATTGCTACTTACTCTCTTTGAATTCAATGGGTTCACCATTACTATTTACCTCATCACATATTATGGACTTTGAAGCTCTAGAAAACTTCTTCTTTCCTTGAAAGTCTATTTTTCTCATAAAAGATCAGCTGGCTTGTGATTGTGGTGGCACTGCTGAAGTAGTTAGTATGCTTCAATGCTGGTAGAATACTTTGGGATCCTTCGCTGTTAATGCTCATGAACATTTTAGATTTAAGAGTGTCCCTTTTCAATGGTGCGATGTAATTTGGGAGCAATGGTCAATGCCCCGTCATAGCTTCATCGTATGGTTAACTGTGCTTGATAGGCTGAAAACAAAAGACAGACTAAGACCTGCTTTGTCTGACAACATTCGTTCTCTCTATAGGCAACATGATGAAACTCATAATCATCTTTTCTTCGCTTGTGATTGGACTTCCCTTTTCTAAAGGAAGGTTAAGTCCTGGCTGCAGATCAATAGGAGCATGACTACTCTGAATAGTGCTCTTCGAGGTCCTAATGCAAACAGGAAGGAGCTGTAGTCAAGAATGTATAGAATTTCTCTAGCCTTGGTTGTGTATCTGATCTGGGAAGAATGAAACAGAAGGGTGTTTCACAATACTGATAAATCTGTTGACCATTTGCTCCGCAAGTTTCTGATTCTCTTTTACACAGTTTTGTACTTCCATGAATCTAATTCCTTAGCTTATAGTGTTTTAGGTTGAACTTTGGAATATGTTCACATGGGATTCAATTATCTGTTTTCTAGCATCTTTGAAAGCTTACTGTCTTCTCCTTTTCTGCTTTTGTGTCTCCTGTTGCTGTGGATATTTCTTGCTGCTTCTAGCTATGATGTTTCTCTGCTTGTTTGGGATGTTTGCAACTTCATCCGTTTTTGATTCCTGCTCTTTTTGCTGGGGTTCTGGGAATGGTTGGGAGAGTCTCTTCTGCTGATCTATTATTTTTCTTTTGGTTTGTTTGTCGCATGGCTTGCTAATGGTCTTGTTGTTTTGTGCTGATGTGTGCTTCTTCCAGTGCACGCTTCTCTATTTGTTGGATGCTCTAGTTTTCGCTGGAAGGTGGTTTGCTATTTGTTGTGCTCCCTCTGTCTTTGTTGATTTGCTTAGCGGTCTCTGTTCGCCAGGTTGCTCGGCTTTGCTTTTGGCTCCTTTGAAGTTCGGGTTTTGATATGGATTTTGGTTGGCTTGCATTGCTGGTTGGGTTAGCTTAGACACCTCCACTATGTGGTTTTTGTTTAACCTTTTCTGCATATTTTTGTTTTGGCCTTGTATAGTCTATTTTTTGCAGGGAGCATGTTCCTTATATGGTCTTTGTGTATAAAATATAGATTTCTCTTTGCTGCCTGGTTATTTGGTCTATGCATGCATGACCTGGCTATTTTTGGAATTTTTTCTAGCTTGGGATCCTGTTCTCAATTTATATATGTATCTGAACTTGTTGGTTTTCCAGTATGGTATTCTTTGTTTTTAATTTATACTTACATGCTAATAAATAAATAAAATAGCATAGGGGGATACCCTCTACCTATAAGCGTTGCTGTGAATTGTAATAGATAAATGATTATACTTGCATGGCATCGTTAATCAGATTCATTTTGAAGGAAGAAGATGAAATGCAGATATGGTAAGAACAGCTAGCATGATCATGTCATTCGAAACTTGCACTAGTAAGACAATTGGTTCAAACACGCCGATTTCTAGTCTTTCAAATATCTCATATATATTATCTTGATTTTAGATGTACAGCTAGTTAGGTAGAAGAAATGAACAAGAAGTGCATGTAGAACACACACCATGCATGTAACAACTCACACTCAAAATGCACTCTCAGCTTACTTGGTCATCTGTCTAACACAAGATTTTCTATCCAAAACAGCACATCATGGCCTCTAGGTACTCTGAGCCTCCTGCCATAGCAATTACTTCACTAGTTTTGCTTCTTCTTATTTCCCTTCCACCCAGAATCCTCTCACAAAATTCCCCCATCCCCACTGACCCAACAGTAACTGATTGCACGCCAGGGCTGCTACCACTGGCCCCATGTGCCCCATTTGTTCAACGCATGGCTCAGATACCAGTTCAACCTTGCTGTGACAACCTCAACCAACTCTACCAAGAGCAGCCTGGTTGCATTTGCCTCTTGCTCAAAGACACCAACTTGAGCTCTTTCCCAATTAATCGCACCTTAGCCCTGGAGCTGCCTGTTCTTTGCAACGTGCAAATTAACATTGCTGCCTGTTCAGGTATATAATATAATCTGAACATTCTAGATCATAGAGGCTGTTGTTCTTTACAGTAATTCAAATCACATTTTCAAGACGAGAAAGATTTAACTTTTTTTCTTTTATTTTCTCAGTATGAATTTTATTTATCACTATGTGTGCTAAAAACTTCGCAATTTCTTGCTGAATCAGGGACCCCTCAGGTCCTCTCTAGTCCACCTGCTTCTCAAGTTTACCCGGGAGCACCCACCAATTCTTCTGTTGGGAGACACACCGACTATTCTTTTGCTGGTATTCATAATATTAATTTGGCTTTGCATGCATATATTTCATTCTTAGGTGAACCCTTTATTATCATTACAGAATGATGGTCCCCTTATCAGTGTTTAGAAGTAGAAAGTGATTTTATTAACAATCTGATTCTGGTATTTTATTTTCCTTTCCTGACCATGCTTCTTGTTTTCTTCTGGAACTCAGCTTCTCCCGTGGTTGAAGGGGAGCCAAGATCCTCCATCACGGGAATCGGATTTCATCGGAGTACTGGTGTTAAGTTGGAGGCAGAAGGTTCTTTGATGCTTCTGGTGACTATGGCAGTCATTTCTTTATCAAAAGCATTTCCTTCGGTCTAGGTTAATAATAAGCATGTTGTGTTTATCCTATATTGGTATTCTTAGTCTTAGTACTTGGGGAAATACAGTGCTGGTTATGATGTGATTTCTCTTCAATGATTTATATCCGTATGCAACTCTTCTACTGGTTTTAAACAGTATCTAGTTGTTTCTTATGGATGATTGCACCTGAATCAGAAAGGTCAACCAGTCTGGAGTGTAAAAGGTAAGTACTTGAACGGCATTTTTTAACCTTTTTATTGCAGAAGGCTATGCAATCATGAAATCGCAGCCAAACTACACGGATGCTATAATTTAATCATAAGACATGAAACCTTGAATACCACCTCAACCCAAAATGCCACTTATCAGTCAAAGTGAGGAGGAGGAGTCTATGAAAATACATTTGAGTAGTAGGTAGACAACAAACGAAGAGAACAGCCGGAAATTACCTAGCAATTTTTTTGTCAAGATGAAATCTTCCCATTCCACTTGAGTTTTTTCCCTTGAGAAACTCCGGACGATCCTTTTCCTAAGCTACTTTGAGCTAACAGCTCCTTTCTTTGCCACGATTGGACGTGCATATAAATACAACTTGAATACACCACCTGCTCCAAAGCCACTACCATGACCATACCCACCACTAGAACCACTCCCACCACCCCCACCACCTCCCCCACCCCCCCCCCCCCCCCCCCCCAACTCTCAAGTTTTCAGTTGAAAACTCAGCAAATCAGACGACTCGCATAGAAACTGAAAGAGAGAATTTCAGACCACACAAAAATATAGCGTGTGCTAGTAAACTGAACTCATACTAGGAATTTTTCTGTATCAATATCTCACAAAATAATTACATACATACATTTGGAAAGTTACAAAATAGAAGCATTACCTTGTCAATCAAAGACATTCTTTTGTAGGATCTATAACATAGTCCAGAAGTAGAGATTCTTCACATTCATTATAGAGTGACTATTCCAAACTAGGTGCCACCTCAGTTGGATTGGAGTCGAAGACATCAGAATTAGATGCTTCAGGCTCTTCTAAAAGATCCCGCGACTGGATTGACTCTTTGTATGCAGGCGTCTCCTTAAAATCTGCTGCCCCTCCATTGTACGTAGCCACGGCAATCCCACATGCAACTAGCTGACAAAGATAAGTAGAACATTAGCACATGCACAGAGGTTACGCAGAGATAGTTTCCAACTTCCATGTGCTTATTCTTTTTCTTCTTTTCTTGCGGAAGTGAAAGAAATAGTAAGAAGAAAACTTTCACAACCTTGGTCATAGCTAGACAAATAGCAAGAAAACTAGTATTCCTTGTTAGAAAATTCTATCCCCGAATATCCAAAAACATTTCTCTATCTGTATCTTCGCTTCGTATTCGTTTTTATTTTTATTACATGCACAGAGGTTACGCAGAGATAGTTTCCAACTTCCATGTGCTTATTCTTTTTCTTCTTTTCTTGCGGAAGTGAAAGAAATAGTAAGAAGAAAACTTTCATAACCTTGGTCATAGCTAGTCAAATAGCAAGAAAACTAGTATTCCGAGTTAGAAAATTCTATCCCCGAATATCCAAAAACATTTCTCTATCTGTATCTTCGCTTCGTATTCGTTTTCATTTTACTTTCCATATTAGCCAGATCGTTCACTGGTAAAGTAAAACGCAATCAAATGTATTAAAGAAACAAAGGATCACCCTTTTATTCTTCCATTACATTACACTTCATTACATAATAACAAACGTATCCTAAATTCATACACAAATGGAGTATTAATTTGCAGCTACTTGAAACCATACTAAAAATCTTCTACCCATTGATTTCTAAGAATTGTTAGAGTATATATCTATAAGTAGTTAATAATTCTAATTGCATATCAGATATCCGAGATCATAACAGGGACAGAGCACAAAAAGTTCCTAGATCACATATAATAACAACTTAAGTAATCATTCTCGAAAGTACAACCAAGAGAATAGGATAAGAAATTGGTAATTTATAGTCGTATGTACAATCTTTTTCAAGCAAAAAACCAGAAAATGGAAATATACCATGCATATGAGGCAAATAACAATAATTAACAGCACAAAGCCAGAAACAAGAGCAACAATACTTGAACAAAAGATAAAAGTAGACAGGCATATCATACCGCAAAAACAATACCAAAAGCCCACATGTACTGCACGAAGAAGCCAAGACCATCCCACTGTGGACCTTCCCAGAAATCAGGCTCATCCCCAGGAAGCTCCGGCAAGAAATAGCCATCATAATTCTCACCAACACTTGTACTAACATTTTTAACTTCACCGTTAACATTTTCATCACCACCACTACCATCCCTTTTATTCTCTTCTTGGTCTTTGGTCGAAGTAGTTGAGCTCCTCCTGTTCTTGCTGTCAAACTTGCCAATTCTAGAGACGGAGGAAAGTTTCTTGTTGGAAGCTGAGACTATATGGAGGTGATCTTGAGGTGATCTTCTGAGTGGAAACAGGAAATGAGGACGGCATGGAGTGTGGGTGTAAGGGTGGTGTCTCGAGGGGTTGGTGTAGAGGGTTCTGCCTCCACCACCATTGCCATTGGCTATGAAGAGAGACATGAATTCGGGAGCGAGGAGATAAGATTTTGCGAACAAGGAGACAAGTATTGTGAGGATAAAATGCAAGTCTTTCTCTGTGTTCCTCTCTACTTTTGTGGGCTTGGCTTAAACTGGTAGGCCTAGTCTTTATTGTGCATTAAAAATATCAGTGTAACTACTTTCAATTGGGTCTAAAACTGTGTTCCTTGTCCATTACTTACAATTGTTTTTGCAAACACATAGGGAAAAAAAAAAACAATTTTCCTTTATTCTTTTTAATTTTCTTCTCTTTTTCAGTTTTTTTAATGAAAAATTAAAAAAAATACATGTTCATTTCTTAAAGTTTCACAACATTTATCGAACTCAGAAAACTAGAAAATGTGTTTATTTTATATTACTTTTCATTTGGAGAAAAATCGTATTCAAATTAAATATATTTTCTATGATTTTTTATATTTTTATGTACTTAAATATTTTTTTTCTAATATCAATGGTATTGTCTATTTTTTAATTTATTTATCTTTATTCCAAGAGAAGTTTTTCACCTAATTAAATTAAATCAAAAGCAAGAATAAACACAATAAAAATAAGATATTTTTAATATTAAATTTCTATTAATCATAAAATTCAACACCCAAAACAATATTAATTAAAATATAAAAACATTCTTGAAAGTTATTACATTATTTCAAAGAACAAGAAAAGAACAAGAAAAGGGAAAGAATCTTAAGGGTTAGACCATTTAAAACAATTATATTATATTTACAAATTCAATTATAATTACAATTAAAAGAAAGATTCAGCTAAAATATAAACATAATTTGTTAACAACTTTGCTAACTCATATTATTTATTGTCAAACTTCAACAACTCTGCTTGTTATTGGGATTAACTTCATAACATTCAAGATTTAAGTTAGAAAAATCTAACAGCTTGATTATCCATCAAGTTCCCAAAACATATAAATTATTTTAACTTTAAAGCTACACATTAATTTATGTCAATGAAATTATTAAAATAAAAAATATTTATTCAAACTATAGTTTTGAAACCTAGATTGGCCTGGCAGGTTGAACCTAGACTCAACTAACTTGAGTTTGGGACTAATTCGGGTCTAAGTAAAAACCTGTCTGGGAGTTAGCTCGACAAAACTTGATCAACTTGGCGGGTCAACCCAGAACCCAATTGACCTAGTGATTGATACTTGAAAGTGTATTTTTATCAAGGTTTTATATCATCATTTTGCACTTGAAGTATCAATAACTCCTTAACTAAAACATGTTTTATAATAATATATCTAATAATATAAGATACCTTTAATTTATGGTAAATGTTCATTTTAAATGCAGGCCTATCACATAAATGAAAGGATTGATTGATGAATTTAAAAACTGAAATTGAAAGGACAAAGAGATGACCAAACTTAGAAAAGAGATATCGGTGCAGTCCAAACTGGAATACTATTCAGTAATTGGATCATATCTGGAGCTGTAGATCTCAGATTTAGGTCTACATTATATGGATGGAAAGGTAAGAAGACATAGGCCTACAACTTTCATATGGAGCCCAAGATCTAAAAAGGTCATTTTCAAGTCCAAATTATAGCAACAACAAAGAAGCCCGAATCTGTCCTCCAGCCCGAGCACTGTTCAGTATTTTGGCCATATCTGGAGTTCTAGAAGTCAAAATGAGCTGAATGTTTTACACAAGAAAGCTGAGACAATTTCCTACAACTTTCATATTTCAAGTGGCTCTAATTTTGATGTTATCAATGATGTTTTGGGCAGACAAGAGAAGATAAGGATTGTCACCAAGTCAAGAGTTGGTTGCCCACTCATCAATTAGTCATCAAATCAATAGTTCCTAATTTTGGCCTATAAAAGGAGGCATTTGCGATGCATTTAGGCATCTTGGTGTCCAGATCAAGATCATGCTCTTGCTTTCTCTCTTTGTATTTTTTGTAATGTTTATGCTTTGCTTTCCTTAATATCAAGTTTATGCCTTTCAATTCCTTTGCTTTGATACTAACATGTTTTGTATTTGTTATCTTGTTCACTCTTTAATACTTTGTTTGTTAAATGACTAATCTTGATTTATGTTGTATAACACTTGGTACAACAAATGCTTGGC